TTATAAAATGCTATTTTTTAGTAAAACTTTATTTTTCATCTTTTCTTTTTTCTACCCTTATTCTATATATGAGGTTGGTCAAATTGACTGACCTCGTAACCACCAAATAGGAATTTGAAATAAATCTAAATTGCCCTTTTTTCTTTCTAGAATGACTTCAAGTTTCAACATGAAACTATATTTGTTTATCTTAAATAGCTTTAAACTCGTAGCAGTAGGCATCTGTTTATACTTCAATTTTATTATTTTATTGCCTTTTGAACTGTGGCTAAAGTAATATTCCTGCCATAAAATTTCTAACTCATTACCCTATCGAATTACATAATACACATGTGTTACTCGTAAATGTATCTCATGAAACATTTTTATCATCATTATTCTCTATTTCACCTAATCTAACCTAAAAAGTTTCATATCTTTACATTTTAGTTATTTTTATTATAATAAAAGACATAAAAAACAAGAAATATAGTACATACCTGGGCTGCCTTTTTTTGGCTCTAGACTGTCAGTGACACTTAACCCTACTTTTTATACTGATGATACTACAGTTCTAAATAATTTTGTATTTAATTAAGTAATGCATCAAAGAACACAAAATAGTAATTGGAAAAATGCAGACAATGTCCCGTGACTATGACAATTTTTCTGGGTCTTTGTTTATGCGACAAGAGCCGTTAGGAATTCGGCTAATCTTCTTCCTAGGTTTCCCATGTGAATAAAGTTTGAACTGGAAGCGAAATAGGCAATTCTCTGTACAGAAAACATAATATAATAGATCATTTGATATAATAAAAGCTTGGCTTTCTATTGGTTATAAATAATATAGTATTAAAAGAGAACTGTTGGCAATGAGAGGATGTGACTGGTGGGTGTGGCTAGAGGGAGTCTATTTATTGGCTCTGTAACCAAATAAGATTCAAGACTATAAAAATATGATTTGCCTGAGTGATGACAACATTATAATGAGTAATTTACATTAAATTTCACACTTCTTGGAGCATTGGTAAATAACTTAGAGAATATAGGATGTCTAATGAGAAAATATCACAATTCTCACACTTCTTAGAGCATTGATAAATAACTTAGAGAATAGAGGATGTCTAATGAGAAAATATCACAATTCTCACACTTCTTGGAGCATTGATAAATAACTTAGAGAATAGAGGATGTCTAATGAGAAAATATCACAATTCTCACACTTCTTGGAGCATTGATAAATAACTTAGAGAATAGAGGATGTTTAATGAGAAAATATCACAATTCTCACACTTCTTGGAGCATTGA